CTTAATCATGTTGAGTTCTTTGTGTGTGATAAATACTTATTAGTTAACAGTAGTCCTGAAAGTGAGCCTATGCTTTCTTACCATTAACAGAAGAGATTTGAGCCGATGATGTCATCATCCATAAATTTTCACCCAATCCAGGTGCATTACTATGTGTAAATAGATTATTTGCTGCTAAATATTCTGAATAGTTTTGTGCAACTACATTCAATGTCGAATTCAATGCTAAACCACTAGTATTACAATGGTTTTGACGATAAAAGTTGTGTTGAGTTAAGGCTTGTTGTTGAAAGGTCACTAGTTGAGCCGTTGATAGTTTTGTGGTAATAACAATAAACAGACATAATACTAGCACTTTGTTCTGCATTGTTTTCTAGCAAAAATAAAAGAATCAACCCACAAATGTGCTTTACAAGCCCAAAGTCATTGTTTTCTGTTTGGTTGGCAGCCTCAAAACTCAAATGCTCAAGGTGTTTTCATCCACATTGAGATAGTTCAAATGCTCAAGATTCTGACTATCTTGCCAAGTGGATACTGCGAAAAAGAGTACGAATTCTGTCACAGTTCAACAACATATATGAATAAGATCCTAACTGCTTTGCTAAAGAACATATTCTCCTGAACATATGTAACTGACTATTATTGCCAACGAGTGACCGCTCAACTGGATAGAAATTGATGATCGAAAGAGAGAGTGAGAGAACGTTACTATATGCTGTTACATCCGATAAAAATGGAGTAAAATGTGATGACTATATAATGAAGAAGGTCCGCAGCAATGTATTCACCAGGTCGCCAACGGATTGTGTGTAGTTAGTTTATCGGAATATGTCAAATTAGACAACGTAGCGGCTGTTAAAAGTTAGAAATTACCGCCTAGTTCTGAAGAACGAACGAGTGGTCCTCGCGAACTGTCACATCGCTTTTTCAGCCAAACCTAGTGGGTTATAGCATGTCAGCTATGCTGACTCAGAATATCATAGTGGTAGCTTCTCAGGCGCCTTCAGATAGCAATTTTTCAGAAACTCTTAAAATTAATCAATACTTTTCTGAATGAGGTAAGATTGTAGCCTGTAAAGTTTTGATTAAAAGGTCGTGCAGAGCGGGAGATGTCTCATTTTAACCAAAAATTTGCGGACTACAATCATGCCCCATTAAAAGAGGTTTTGGCTACTTTTAGAGTTGCTGGAGAACTGCTATCTGAAGGCTCATGAAACGCTACCACTGTGATATTCGGAGTCAGCATAGTGGATAACCTTTAATCCACTAGGTTTGGCTGAAAAAGCGATGTGGCGGTTCACGAGATCTCCTCGTAAGTATGAACTCTCAAAAACTCCAAGATCCCAGGAGTATAAAAAGATAAATATTTATGCACTTTAGCTACTTTGCAAATAAGTTGTATGGAAAGTAGCTCGAATTCTAGATAATTATTATTTTTCTGAGAAAGAAACGTAAAATAGCTTAATAATAACAATGGGTAGTTCCGAGAAATCTTCCACATATGTAAATGTTCTTCAAACTCGATGAAACCTTCAACGTTTATTCACCTATTCTTCGTGCCTTCTGAGACATATTTCCTTTTTCGAGAAAGTTAAACCCTTAGACGGTGGAGATGGCACATTAAGGTCACCACCGCCAATCAGGGTCAATTTGAAAATCATTGCAAATCCCTTTTACCAAAAATGGTGGTAAAACGGTAGAGCTCTTTTTCCTACACTACCCACGTTTAAGCAACAGCAATATATATTCAATTCTTCTCTTTATAAGCTATCGATTGCTATACAGAGCACCTTTTGAATATAAGCGGTTGATTGGTAGTAGTGCTTGTATTAGTATCAACGTATGAAAAATGCTAAACTATTGACAACTAGAAAAAAAGATGGCTATATTCTCAGGCAAATTCAGATACAAATGCCGATTTGTAATGCTAAACGTGCTGCAATTGCGCACCAGCTGTTTTTCACTGATTTTAATAGTTGCTGAACTTTTCGACAACGAAGTCTAACAGAAATCATATGATAACTGCGATCGATTTTTTATCATATCTCGTCTAACGACGGAACGTCCTGAGGTGTTAAGAGCTTTTTTGAATGGAACTATTTTTAAACTGTAGGCCCTCATGAGCTGTAAAGAACCCCAACTTGATTGCATCCGAACCAAGTTGGACTTCTTGATAGTGCATGAGGGCCTGCATTTTAAAAATAGCCCCATTCAAAAAGCTTTTTATCACCTCAGGAGGTTCCTTCGTAAGATACATCAGAAAACATTGAAATGTGCTACTATAGCCTAATTGTACATGGAGCCACTGAATTTGAGGGTGGAACCCTGTAGCTGATGACGCGGTTTAGCCATTCACTAGACTTGTTTGTTTGTAAAATACTTTTTTAAACGTTAATTGTTTTACGCTATAAAGGAAAACGAAACATGCTTCATTGCAAAAAGGACATTGACTTCGACACTGATTATTTGAAGTGCCATACCAGAAGCAAAAATTGGTGTTGTCATCCGTTAAACTACAGTGACACCAAACGAATTCAGGGTTTCAGTTGTCCTACAGGCATATACAATTTTACCGAAGAGGCTAAAATTTTTATTAGAGATCAATGTCAACACAATAAATGGGAAGTAGAAGGTGTTAAATTATGTACAATTTCTTATAAGTCTGAAATGGTCCGTTTTAATTCATCAAGAAAAGAATCTGCACATAGCACGCAGAAAATGGAAACAGGTGAAGTCCAAGATGTTAAACGAGACCGAGTGTATGATTAATTTTATTGTTTTTCCATCAAGTTCAGTATCTCCTCAGTAAATCTCGTAAGTGAACATTTTTCTGATTAAGCAGTTGTAAAGAGCATGATTTGAAGTACATAAATATATGCTTAGATACCATCTATGTCGCTTATTAGTGGAGAACAATGATTTTCAAGTTGACCCTAATTGGTGGTGGTGACCTTAATGTGTCACCTTCACCGTCTAAGGGTTTAACGTTTTCGAAAAAGGAAATATATCTCAGCAGGTAAGAAGGATAGTTGAATAAACGCTGAAAGTTTCATCGAGTTTGAAGAATATTTTACACAGAGTGGGCGGTTTTCCATGGAATCATCCCAAAGGAAACCCTTTCTACACTGAATCTCGAACAAAATTTCACAAACGCGTTGATCTGTAATACAACAAATTTCAAGTGCGAGGTCGAAAGATCAGTTACACATTTAAATGTATGTTGTGATAGCATCTTTCAACATGAAAAAGAACGTTACCGTGTTTTCAAATCTTTCAAATACGCGACACTTGCTTACTATAATAAAATGATGAAGTAAGCAATTGTTTTTTATTAATAAAAAATAATCTTTATTTTCTTTATTATTTGCATCACTTATTCGCAGTTTCTTATCAAAACAAATGTTCGATACGTTTCGACTTTTTCCTTTTAGTACATTTTATTAAGTATTTTTGTTTGTTGAAGAGAAAGAGAAAGGAGCTCTTAGTAAAAATTAAACAAAAAATCAAAAAGTGATTCAAGACACTTTTGAAGATTGGAAAACCTATCGATGCTGCGACGAGCAAGAAAACAGATGGTTATAAATGGAATTTTCAAGTCCTGTATATCCTAGCAAAATGCAATATCACGGTTGCATGGAAATGCCAGGATCATCTTTAAAAATGAAAGTGGGTACTTCTCAGTTTTAGTTGCTGCACTAACCTGAAAAATCCCATGTTAGCGTCATAATTAAAAACAAAAATGTCGCTCTGAACCTTGCTCATAAGTCACAGAACCGGTCAGATACTAAGTCAATCTTCTTTAAAATGACGATTAATACTGGCAAACAACCATTTTCAAATAACGAACAACTAAGTGTCATTAGTTGTACGGAAATTCTCTTTTTGATATGTATTTCGAGTTACAAGTAACCCTCATCTTCGATTCACTAACCCTTGACTGAAAGATCCTGGTGCTAACGAACCCGACATGTGAAATTCGTAACTTAGAGAAAATGATTTTTGTGGTCTTCGGTATGGTTGAATAAAACTACTCGAGTTATCTACTTAAAACTGATTATGATACGTGTAGAAGTTATTGTGAAAAACTTTTGATCGTTTGAAAATAGTCCAAAATGAGGAAAATATTTGTATTACTTCTTCGGAAAGTTCACAAGTAGTTTTCTCTGGCTCCCCTCGGGAGGTTTACAAAGTTAACTCTGGCTGGCACCTAAGAAACAAATATGCCCTCAAAATATCCGCAAAACGAGCAAGCCAGACAAGCTAGCAGACAGCGAGATACGCATCAACACTAAACATTCTAATCGACATCAACGAAAAACTCACTGCCAACCGTTTCGGCAGTTCTTCCTTCATTCCGAACTGCAGAAAGACTTACTCCGAAAAGAACTTCCAAACAATCAATAAGCAAATCGCTAACTCGAAAACACAAGATACAGCCCGCCCCAAAACAACACTAATACCAAAAACAAATGACGAAAAGTATGAGTGACACTACATTACCAAAACCTTAGTACACCATAAACGAATCTGCACCGCAGCAACAGTATATGGCTTCCGACACTCTAGAAAGAACAACCACACAAAACCACAAACACACCGGTGCTGAACATACAACTACGAAACACAACACACACGCCTACTACCAGGTGTCTCACCAAAGCAACCACCTGCACCACAACAATCCCATAAACGATACACAGTGACAAAGAAACCCGATACACAGCAACACACACACCTCTCCGTCAAACATACACTATCATCAACATTAACAAAACCCAAATCCTGATTGGGCCAAATTCCGAAAAAAACAGAAGTTCCCATGGGTAAAACATTGAAAATGAATAAAAAACCACCTAACAAAGGCATAATAACGCATATCAAACAGTCCGTCATTGAAGATCACCACGAAGTTGGTACCAGCAGATAAAATATGTAAAATTTAATTTCTGACATTTTCGGTTTGGGAGCCAGATTTGTCAGATGCTTGCTTCATGGTGAAAAGTGTTAATTATCAAAAATTAGCGTTTTTCTCGCTAATTAAGCAAACTGATGCCAGCAGATAAAATATGTGAAATTTAACCTCTGACATTTTTTATTCAGGGCTTGCAGATCTAGGATGTCTTGCTGCTGAGAAAAGTAGTAATTACGTGTTTTTCTTCCTCGAATGTGAGTATGTCGCTAATTTACGTTTAAGTGGCGTCAGGTGTTACTACTCTACTATTGCGCACGGACGGACATTTCGTTTGTATGACCCAAGACTTTCAGTCAAGGGAATTGATATGTATTTCAAGTTATTACAATACAAAAGTTACGCCAAATGGGAATTTTTCAGATGAAGTTAGAACTGAATGGAGAGGAAGATAATTA